AAAACTTGTCCTCTTGTCTGTCTGGAAAATATTTAACTATGTTTTAATAATAGTAATACAATAGTACTCTGCAATGACAACCATATCAGTAAATTAGATGCATTTGAAAGCACTTCTTTTTCCTACTTGTTGACTTTTGCAGCTATGCCGATGAGAAAAGAAGAAAAGGAAATATATATCAAGTGGCCTTATAGTAACTTGGATATTTACTTCACTGCAAATTATTTATCCCAACGGTAATTTTATATTTATATCTTGAACCTAATTATATTCCTTCCAAATATTCTTGGTGCTAAATAGCTTTAATTGCACTCTTCTTTGGAAACACATTGTGCTTTTGTATTTTCCCCAGTGTCTTCTATTTCCTACTGAAATCTTTATGACTATCATAGGCATGTAAAAATAATTGAAAATAATTTGAGGAAGAATTGGTAATTTTAGCTTTACATGAATAAAACTCATTAAGTCAAATACTCTTGAAACCTTTTAAGGTTGTTTAAAATCTGTTGACAACGGGCTTTATCCAGTTATTAGATATTCTGTCTCAGTTGTCATTTTGGAGCTTGCTAGCCATAGTCATATTATAATAGTTGTGAAATGTTTTGCATGCTTTCCATTAGGTCAGTTAATGAATTTAAATTCTTTGGAAGGTAAGCATGTGTTTCTTAACAAAACAGTTTCAATTACCCTGATAATTTACAAAGCTTTGAAAAAGCAACTTGCTTCAAAGCATATCATTTTCTTATGTTTCCTATTTGTGTTTTTTTCTACTGATTAGTCCATTAATTTTGATAAGATTTGTGGTTTTTTTTCTTTTGTTTTCTTTTTTTATACTGAGGATCATATCCAGAGCATTGCACATGCTAACCAGATGCTTTAAGTTTCAGACAAAATAGTCTGTTGAATACTAATTTTGAAAATATTATAAATGAAGTGGATGAAAAATTGTACTCATTCCTGTTAGGAAATTATTTAAGACCAATTCACATGGGGTTTTTTTAAGAGTATAATCATACTTGTCATTTTTAGCATATTATGGAAAACACATATGGCCAATAATGGATTCAGTGTGAAGCCTAAAACATTCTGGAGAAATTTTAGTATTTTGCATTATATATAACCTAAAAACACAATAAAAATACAGAAGTAATTAAGTGGAATGAAACAGCATTGAAGTATTAAATTTTGTTACCAAAATATTTAAGAAAATCATTATTGTTCTTTAGTTTTTGAATAAATGCTCAGCCAATTTAATTTATTTTTAATTGCAGTTTTGCAGATTAGATATACAATATTTAAAGAAATATTCTTCATTTTGACCAGAGGCTAGTGGTTCTCAATACAGGTATTTGCCTTTTAATCTTATTTGAAAGGCTTACTAGTAAAATTGTAAGTCTTACCAAATCCTATAAACCAACTTTTTAATAAAGAAGCTATATAGTAATAATCCCACTGAAGTATTATCGAAACATTTATTATTATATTGGGAAAATAAAACACAGAGTGCACCAGTAAGATTGGGAGTAGGAACCAAAGTGTGAAGTGTAAGTGTACCACTTTTATATCCATTTTTAAAGGTAAGTGTATTTTTCAATGTTGATAGTTTTAGATTAACAGA